TCACAGAAATGTGCACAAAGGAGCAAAAGCTGATCATTGGATTAACAGAGCTGTGGAACTCATTAGTTAATGCATATTGGGAATGTCAAATATCTTTTACTGCTGCAGAGAAAACATGGTTTTGCTGACTGAGGACAAAACAAAAAGGCTGACTTGATTAGAGTATAGAATACCTTGAATTTCTAAAATGCTGAACTGGTTGAGTTATTTTGTGATCCAGTTTGCTTTATTTTGCATTATCATTTTATTTAACTTTTTTTGTTTACTGTAATAAAACCACATTACTCCAATTTTAGATCAGCTAGGATTACAAAACATTAACAAGCAAAACGAACGCCTGTGTCCCCGGGGTTCGCTTTCTTGGAGTGCATGATCTGTGTATGCTTTTAAATTTCAGGAAAAACAGGAAGAAGACAATATTTAATGTCGTCTTTGGATCAATAAAGTATTTTAAAACTGAATTAAATAAACCACTGAACACAAAGGAAATGTCTTGTGAAGGTTAAAGCTGGTTAAGAGAGTGTCCTGATCAACAGTGAAATTAGTCCTCTAAGTTTATGAGCTGAGGTCCCTCAGTGAGGAGGGAGCCATTACTTCCTTAATCCAAAAGCGAAAGAATAAAGGCCAGAGGTCACTCTTGCCCTGTGATCTTAAAGTCAAAATGTTTGTTGGTAATGAATATTAGTTCCTTTGGGAGCTTAAATGCCAATGAACATTCCCTGAACTTTGAGGCACAATACCTTTTCCAGAACTGGTGCAAGCAGCAGAAATGATATCATAAGGAAAAGAAATATGTCAAAGTATTAAAGCAACATCCTAAGATTTAATCCCAAAAATTGATACTTAGCCAAAAAAGTGTCTTCATATTGGCCAATACTGAGTACTTCTTAGTGAACAGCTAAATGAGTGGCAGGATGTAATCCTTTTGGCTGCCATCAAAAAGTCCTGATCAGTCTTATAAACAGTCTGTGGGCAGAATTGAAGAGGTGACACCAGTTCAGGCAGTAGGAATTCTACGGAAAATGTCACATAGAATCAGCTTTATTTGCCAAGTTTGTGCAAACAAACAATGAATTTTACAATATTCTATGCTTTAGAATAGCATAAAAAAATATTTGACAAAAGTCTTGAAGTTTAAAAGGCAGCCTTGAAATATTAAACAATGTGATTTTGAAAGATTGAGAAACGTATATACTTAAATGTCCTAAATATGCCCCCTTCCATTATGTGACATTATTTCCACAAATAAAATATAAATGTTATGCTTTTGTACATTTTATTATTCAAGTGTCAACACTAATTTCCTATAGATCTATATTAAAGAAAACCATCAGCCCAATTACATTTATCTATATAGTACTGATTCACAACAATTTCGTCTTAAGGCACTTTACAGACACAATTTGATCAAATCATGTAATCAGATCAGTAAAAAAGTTTCTGTCGAAGAAAAACCAGCTGGGTGCACTGACTTCCTGGACATTGGATATGTTTGGAGTGATGATATTTGCTTGCATTTTGTTGTTAAATCTCCAGCAATCCCTCACACTGAGCAATCCATGGAGGGATGGTGGAAGTAAAAAAAAAACCTTTTGCCAGGAAAAATACGTCTAGCAGAAGCAGCTCAGTGTGAGCATCCTTCAGAAACAGTTAAGGAGATGAGCTCTAAGCCAGTTTTCATGGCAAGGGATGAGAGAGCACATACCAGTAATCATAGTCGAAGTTGAGTCAATATCTGTGTCAAGAAGTAAAATGAAAAGCAGACCCAACTCTTTTATCTAAAATCGAAATTACTGATATCATCCCAGATTATATTTTTCTCTAAGATGAGAAAAAGCACAGAGTAATGGTCCACCTCACATCATACTCTCATTTAGAAATTCTAGGAACCACAAGTAAACCTGCAGAATGAGTGATATGTTAGGACCACAAGGAACAATCAGATCCCTGATATAAGAAGGAGCTTGGTTATGTAGGCTTTATACATAAGGAGGATTTTAATTTCAACTCTGGATTCAACAACAAGCTAATGAAGAGAAACTAAAAAAGAAGAAATATCTCTCTTTTTCAAGTGCATCAGAACTCTGGCTGCAGCATTTTGGACCAGCTGAAGGTATTTGATTAAAGTTTGTGGACTTCCTGATATCAAAGAACTACAATACTCCAGCCTTAAAGTAACAAATGCAGGAACTAGTTTCTCACCATCACACTGGACAGGATATTGAAATCACCATCTCACTGGTCAAAAGGGCACAAATGCATATGTTTTTCCTGCGGAGGATGAGGAGAACCGACCTGCCCCCACCCATCTTAAGGAACATGTATATAAGCAACATAGAGAGTGTTCTGACCAGCTGTTTCTTTGTGTGGTGTGGGGGCTGCAGTGCCGCACGTTGGAAGAAGGTGAGAAGAATAGAGAGAACTGCAGAGAACTGAGAACTTCCATCCATAAAAGACATTTTATCCCAGAGCTGTGTGTCCCAAGCCCACAACATTATCAATGAACACTCACAACCCCACCATGGACTGTTCTTCCTGCGGCCCTCTGAGAAGAGGCTTCGCAGCATTCAAAGCAGGCCCAGCAGATTTCTTACGTAATGGTTTAATTACAGCTACCTTAAAAGCCTATGGTACATGTAGTACATGTGGTACTGTATCAGGGGTATATTAATTATATCTAAAATAGAGGCGGAAGTCAGAGGGAATACTTCCGTTAATAACTTGGGTGGAACTGGGTCTAACATATAAGTTAGACCAAAAAGGTTTAGATAATTTTGTTAACATGTACAGTAAGCTCAACTGGATCAAAACATTTATAACATAGCTTAGATTGAACAGCTACCCCAGATGCTACCTCACCGCTAGAGATTAACCAGTTAGATGGGTACCAGGTTGTTGCACAGTGCACAGAGATGAGGTAACCCCATAAATAAAGTTATCAATTTGGGAAGATAAATTAAATGGTTACAGAGGACATAGATAGAACAGATTCTTCAAAATATTTTACAGCACAACCTGACAATGCGTTGCTAAAGTGAAACTTCGTTTTGGATGAGAAGAACTCTGTTAAAGTAAGTTTGAAGGTTACTAAAAAGTGGTCAGAGTGTGAGGAAATCCTGTTTTTTCTTCACGGCCAGTTCACAAGGTGCAGAATATGAAGATCAGAATGCATACAAATCAGAATGCATACAAATTTTAAAATAATTTTAAATTTCAAAATAAAGCCAATTGATTCCAAGATAGCATTATTCTGCAGTTAAGCTGTCACCATGAATGTTAACATTCTCCACTATAATGACTTCATCAGTATTTATCACTAAATCAGATAGACACTAAAATTAGATAGATCACTAAAATTAGAGTAAGGATGTGTTGGAGGATACAAATTTACAAACAACAGATGTTTTGTTGCTTTACAATTTTCATAAGGAAAACTATGGACTGACTTTGGGCCAATGAATAAGTCTGACTTAAAGATTGTTGCTACTCCTCTTCCTTGTCCAGAATTTCTACGCATATGCAAATTTGAAAAGCTGAAGAGAGTTGCCTCATTTAGGCTAAATTAATCTTCTTACTGCATCTAGGTTTCTGTAAGACCACATACAGTAAATCAATTTGATTATCACAGATCAAGCCATTAACTATCTCCAGCTGTCTATGGGCGAGAGGGAGGGTACACCTTGGACATGTCGCCAGTCCATCGCAGGGCAACTCAATTACAGTCATTTTAATCTTAATTTGAATATAATGGTTTGCTCTATGAAGATTTTTTTATATATTTATTCGATTTTGGGAAGACACTGTCTGGATAAGTAATGGGTGGGTAACCGCAGAGAAGCCGCAGAGAGGTGTGTTAAACTATGACTCTGCTTCCTGATCTGCAACAGATCAACTTTTCTCCTTAGATAAACATTGTCTTAAACCTTAATGTGGAACTACAATCACTTTCCTAAATTCTTTGAAAAATACAGATTGTACATCCTGAATTCCAGCTTATTGGATCTTTCCACTTATATCCACCTTGTATTTAAAGTGTACAGTTCTCCTGGGCTTTAGCTTCACCATATTTAGGAAGCTGTAAAAGAAGACTGTAATGCTCTTACGAGGCTTGATCATGGCGTGCAGTGTGACAAAGGTCATAGTGGGACATTAGAGCTGCATCTTACTTTATTACCTACCGACCAGTATAAAAGTTAAGTGTTTAGAAAAAGAAAGAACAAGAGTGGGAATCTGAGAAGGTGAGAGTGAAGGGAAAAAAAAGTGTTTCGGCATTCAAATTTGCTCTATTCAAATTCTTCTTGGCTCCACATTTAATTTAAATATTTCAAGAAACTTTAAGCAAATGTCAGGCTCCCGCCCAGTAGCTTGTGTGATCGGGTAAACTTGAAAAAACCTTTCTGTCATAACTTTGATAAAGCTTTTTAGATGCTTTTGAGCCAGCCATTCAGTTAAATGTAATTGAGATTCAGTTCTCTTTAAAAGAGATTCACTTGGGTCACCAGTTCTTAAATACAGGTGAAAGCCTTTGCAGCATGTGTCTCTAAATGTGTTTATACCATCATTATTTCCTTCAAATAAACAGGATATAACATTGGAATCACTTAAAAATAAAAAACATGCAGGGTGCAAGAAACAGCACCTTTACTCTGGAGACATTCTCCATTAAGACTGTGGTGCACCAGTAGATCAAAACAAGGATTATCCTTACTCCGGTTAGCCTTGCCATTAAGATGTCGACCTCAATGTAGGTAACACTCAGCTAATGGCCTGTTAAACAATGAATGTGTCAAATAGGTAAAATAGGGGCTGTGAGTGGAAGGAAAACAAAAGAGCAGGAAAAAAGAGAAAGACTTTAAAAAGTATCGACGGAGTGTCCATAGTGAAGGAGAGAAAGGCGGGGAGTCTTTGGTTGGTGCACTGGTATGTGACGTCAGCAGCTTGTTGGATTGAGGTGCTGTGTCCTGCTGATTTTAATCCTAACTCATTAAGGAACTGAGAACAAGTACCCGAGCAAGCTCTCTGGGGAAAACATAGAAAGTGACTTGAGAAGGAAGGAATTTTAGAATAGGTCATCAAGAAAGAAAGTGGAGTTACTGTGTGAGAAACAGAAGTGAGAGAAACAGAAGAAAGAAGATAACGAGCATTTTGATTTTTAGTCTCATGACTGATTTCATCCGACTTTTTCCTTGCTTGTCCTAAATCTCTCTGCTCACAGCGTTAACGTGTGGCCTGTTCAAGCATGCCCACCAACGGGATTAACAAGGCTCTCAAGCTGCAGTTTGGTCTGATTAATTATGAGAACCGCTACCTGACTGCTGAGGCCTTTGGCTTCAAAGTGAATGCCTCAGGAATCAGCCTGAAGAAAAAACAAATCTGGACTTTAGAACAAGATGAGCAAGATGGTCAAGTTGTCTTCCTCCGAAGCCACTTAGGACGCTACCTTGCTTCAGACAAAGCGGGAAAGATTATATGTGGGGCAGAAAAGCCTGACCCAGAATGTCGTTTCCTTATTGTACCGCAGTCTGATGGTCGCTGGGCACTGCAATCAGAACCTTACCAACGTTACTTTGGAGGGTCAGCAGACTATTTGTCCTGCTTTGCTCAAGCTATTGGCGAACAAGAGCTATGGGCTGTTCATCTGGCTTTACACCCACAGGCCAGCCTACTCAGTGTGGCACGAAAGCGTTATGCCCATCTGTCTGCTTCCGATGGAGAGATCTCAGTTGACAGCAATATTCCCTGGGGGGTGGACTCTCTGGTCACCTTGGTATACCAGGATGGAAAATACAGTCTGAAGACCTGCGACAGTCGCTTTCTCAGTAATGACGGCAAACTTGTGAAGGAGAACTCCAACGCAACAAGCTTCACACTCGAACTGAAGTCTGGAAAGCTTGCCTTTAAGGATTGCGACGGGAAATATCTTGCTCCAGTGGGCCCCACTGGCACGCTGCGTTCTGGCAGATGCTCCAAACCTGGAAAAGATGAGCTCTTTGATTTGGAGGAGAGTCATCCACAAGTAGTCTTTCAAGCTGCCAATAAGCGATATGTTTCAGTGAAGCAAGGTAAACAACCATTGATACATCCAAGTCAAATATTTTCAACATTTACATCTAGTGAAAGTGCTTAAATGCCACTTTTTGTCATTTTTGTTGCTGGTAGAACCAGAAAAAACCTGGGTTTGACAAAGAATGCATTTATTTGAAATGATTTGGGTAAAATTAAGTTTTGAAATAATAATAATGGCAGAATTTCGAAAATTAAAAAATAACATCGGCGATGATTTTAACATCAATTATTACTATTGCTTTAATGGTTGAGTGACTTTTTGTACAAAAGCTTTTGAAAACTGCATAAATGTTTTCAGTGTGTTGATATGTTCTGGGTTAGTACCATGCTTTTCTCTTGATTTAACTTTTTAACTAAATCTCAAAAGTGTGTAAAGTAGCTAAGACCCTTGTATTACAAAAAGAACCATTGCGTTCTACAAATGTTACTTGCTTGCTGAAACCCTCATAAAGCAACTTTATAGCTGGTTTTGTTTACAGATGTATTATTTGTTTAGTAAAGTATTATTTATAGTTGTGGCAAACAAACAGCAAAGCAGTTTCACTTATTAGTGGGAAGCTAATGTGGTGTTTAGTAAATGTTGGATCCAGAGTTTTGGCAGCCATATTGTGGAGGTCACTGTGGTAATGGGCTTTGTCATTTTCACTGTGTGTCCCATGAAGATTAAGTGGTTTGCAAATGACTCTTTGAGGGATCTAAGCAACAGGGGTGTCAGTTACTAGCAATGGCTAAAAGTCCTGTTGCCAGTCATTTATTTGCCATTAATAAATCAAAATGAGTTTACTTAAACATCACCAGTTCACAACACAAGCCTTCCTAAGACACTGCATGATTCTTCCTTGACTAAATGAATCCCAAGACAACTAATATGATCAAAAAAGTGGTGGAATTTATACTCAAGGTGATGTGTTCTTCTCATTGCTTTTAAGAAGTGAAAAAAAAGGTTGTAATGTAATTTTATCTGTTGCAGTTTCCAAACTTCTGAGATTCAATTACGACATTAACCTCATTGAATTTAAATAGAACATTTTGCTTTTTGTTGCTATTTGTAAAGTTTTAACGCATATGCCTCAAAGTTAAGTTGTTGGCAATCCTTTTTTTGAAGACATTATAAAACAAAAAAGCTAGCAGGAGCAGTTCAACAAACTGCCACTCAATCTTCATTAAACCGGACAAAAAGCAAAAATTTAAACTGACGTATTTGGCCTTGTAGAAGCTCTTGGTTTTGTAGGGAACAAGGCATTGAAAGCTGCTTAGTGGGGCCTGCAGCGCAGATTTGCATTTCGCCACTGAGGGAATTACAGCATGCGACTAAACAGGAGGAGGTGGAGGGGAAGACTGAGGGGGATTAGCTTTGTAACAGGATTAAGAGAAAGGTTGAAGGATATTTCTTTGGCACCTAATTTATTCTCCAGCAGACACAGTTCAATTACAGGCTATGTGTCTGTGCATTCACAAGACCTGACACACCCCAGAAACCAGAGTTTATACATGCAGATTAGGTAGGCAACACTATGCTGGATGCAAGTGAAGCATTTGTGTAAAAATAAACATGGGAGCTACTGAAAGGAAAGACGGGTGCAAATTTGATCTAGCTTTCTTGCATCACTGCTTTAGCATACATGGAAATTCTTGAGTTGATGACATAAAATTTTGCTTATGGGCTATGGTTCAGAAAAGAAGATCAAAGATAATGCATGGCTTATTCCCTCCAAATAATTATTTGTCTACAATTTCAAATGAGAATTAGATTCCTATGATTTCATGTTTTTATTGTTGGAAATATAAGGCAAAACATCCAAAGTTCAAAAGAGCCATAAGAAAATACTGTCCCCTGCATCTTTTTTCTTTGTAACACATACGCAATTCCTGCGACTGAGATCCTTCATCAAACATCAACATTTCATATTAATATTGTGTAGCATTGTGTTGGAAATTTAGACTCTGTACATTTACATTATTTACCTCCCAAAAGAATGCTTATCTTATTTCCAAATGTTCCAAGTGAACCGCCAAATTATCTATTTAAACCACTAGATGTCACCAAACTGTTCTTTAAGATTCTTTTTTAAAAGCAAAACGCTTTAAAAGAGGACTTTGCTCATTTACGGTAGAATAAAAGATTAATTGAGGGGGAAATGTAGGATAAAAGACAGAAGATGAATGTGTATGAGTGCCTTAGATATTTCCTTTTCCCCCAAATTGTTTCACAATTGAATCTATCTATCTATCTATCTATCTATCTATCTATCTATCTATCTATCTATCTATCTATCTATCTATCTATCTATCTATCTATCTANTCTATCTATCTATCTATCTATCTATCTATCTATCTATCTATCTATCTATCTATCTATCTATCTATCTATCTATCTATCTATCTATAAATTCATATCAATAGATCTGTTAATCTATATAGATATATATACTTATAAAGTGCTGCTTTTTTTCAGTTAGGTTGACCTGTTTGCTGTCCATATTGGGGGAAAAAATCCTCAAAGCATGATTTTGTCAGGCACCATGGTTTTCACATTATTGTCTGGGCTTATGACTTATCTAATGACCTCCAAATTGAGTACCATAAATCCAAGCGTTTTTTTACGGCCCTTTCTTCTTTTAAAACAACTTTACAAAAAATTAAAATAAAGAAAAATAAAATTCATTTTGCAAAAAAAAAAAAAAAAAAATGTTGTCCAAAGTGACAAACTATTTTTTATTTTAATATTTTAATTCCTGTCTGTAGAGTTGTAATATTTTAAAGTAATTCATAACAAAACGTTTTGATGATTTTGCAATATGTACTCTAGTCTAGTTTAGTGGCTCTTCTTAAAAGACTTATATAATTTACCAATTTAATTAGATCCGGTTGTACTAAATGGTGGCAACAAAATAATATTTTTTCAATAATATTTCAGAAAGATTATAATTTGAGCCCATCCTCCAAAAGCATTTAACAGTTCAGCATTTAATATACATCTTTATGGAAGTACATGATAATTTTGGAAACTGTCGTAAGTATAAGTGTAAATATACTGTTAATTAGGATGAAATTCAAATGGCATTCAGCAGGAATATCTGTCTTAAATTATCCTACAAAAATTCCGTTAACAGAGGTGTCTTCTTCTCTATTGTCGACAGGAGTGAGCGTGTCAGCCAATCAGGATGTGGAGACTGACATGGAGACTTTCCAGATGGAGATAGATAAGGAGAGCAAAAAGCCAATGTTTAGGACCAATGGAGGGTCTTACTGGACTTTAGTGACACATGGAGAGATACAGTCCACTGCCACAGAGGTGTAAGTAATCATTAAAGCATTGAAAATAAGGCTTCCTTATAGGCTTTTAACTACTTGAGAATGGTTCTGCACCAGTTACCAACTGTAGGGCAAGTAAATGACAACTAAAAAAAACAAAAAAAAGATTTTTTTTTTACCTATTAAGCTGTTTAATTTAATCTTTTTTTTTTTTTTTTTTTTTACACATTTTTCATAAGTCTTAGTTTTGCTTTTCCACTCACCCTTCCACATTCTTTCCTTACAGGGAGGTCAACACAATGTTTGACATTGAATGGCGAGGTCACAGGGTAGCACTCAAGGCAAGTAATGGAAAATACGTTTGCACAAAGAAAAACGGGCAGCTCTCTGCAGTCAGCGATACAGCAGGTAAGTGCTTTTGCACTACTTACTGAAATGCCCCCCCACAACATGCACAACATGAACAAAATGTGTCATTTATTACAGGCGATGATGAATTACTTCTGATGAAACTCATCAATCGCCCAATGTTGATCCTTCGTGGAGAGAACGGCTTTGTGTGTCACCACAAGAACTCCAACACCCTGGATGCCAATCGATCGGTCTACGATATTTTCAATTTGCTCTTCAATAATGGAGCTTATCACATTAAAAGTTAGTATTTCGATTATAGACATATTATTTGTTTGTTTAAAATATGCATAGACAGCACCAATTAATTAACAGTTCTGTTAATATGCCAACTTAGCAAAATAGATTAACTTTCAGGGGTACACTCAGAAGCACAGCAGTGGTTAGGAAGAAGTATTTTCATTAAAAATATAATGAACATTTTAAAAAATAACCCACAAATATGTCACAAATTCAGAGCAAACTGATCACACACCTGACCATCTTTCAAGTGGTATGATCCATGCAGGATCATATAAGTGAGAGAAGCATCTTCAAATTTATTATAAGCTTTTGTCTGAGATCAGTACTTAGGTAAGCTAGATGTAGCTTGCCTGACGGACGTGGCAGGATAATGGCATTACACTATAGTGCTGAGCTTTTCAATAAGTTTCTGATCTGATGGACGTTTAATATGTAAGATTTAAATACATACTTAAAAATCAAAATATTTGTATTCTAACACAAATCTCAGCTTTTCCCAGGAGCACAGATATCAGATTTTAAAATCCAGTGACCTCTATGTAAACATTTTGATGGCAAAATGTAAGAACAGTTTCAGGCTTAAATCAAAATCTCTTTGTTGATATTGTGAATTATTTTGTCAATAGTAATATATAGAGGAATGTAACTGTAGTACATGGAATGACTAACCTTATAAACCAATTACTTGCAGAGCATGATTAAATTGTTTTATGTGCTAAACATATACTTACATTAATGGAATACTTATTTCACATCAAACTTTGGAGTTTCATGGTTTGTTGGTGTCTTTTTATATTTTAAAACCCCCACCACAACCTAACGTTTGGGCTGAGGTCTGGATCTTTCATGGGTCATTAATCCCCTTGATTTTTGACCCATCTGTTTCAAATGTGTTGCTATACTTTGGATAATTTCCCTGCTGTTTGACCCAGTTTAAGCCAAAATTTAAGTTCTTTAATAAACTGGGCTATGTTTTAGTTGAAAATACCTATACAAGAGTAGTTTATTATACTTTTTTTAAATACATCCTCCACAGATTTTTGAAGGAAAAAAAAAACAAAAAAACAAACCCAAAAAAATCATCACTTTCTACCTCAGAGTATGTATGTAACCTTTATTTATTCAGGAAGATCTCACTATGATTAAAAATCATTTTTTTAAGAAACACTTGATCAAGAACGGCAGTATAATACTTGAATGTACTTTATGTTTATTTGCTGAGTTTAGTCTTCTTCTAAGCTTACATCTCATTGTTTCAATAAGATGGGTCCAGAGGTCTTAAATAGAATCAGAATGAATCTTATTTGCCACTTTAATGTAGGCTTTTGCCCTCTGAAGGCCTTTATTATTCAAATTACTTTATTGAATGATCACTCTTTCAATAACATTTAATTAAAAAAATAATCTCGTTGTAAAGAACTCTTAATCAAGACAAGTTTAATATAATTAAGTTGGACATGAGTTACCGGTAACTTGATCAAGCAAGATCCTTTAAAAGAGTCATCTATATATTAACAATATAGGCTGTTATATATATATTTAGGTGGTATGTCTCTATAATCTTCCCCTAACCTTTAGATCAACCTTGAGAATAATCTAGTTATTTCCAGCATTATCAAATCCTTTTTTATTAATAATAAACATAAATCCTAACTCCAAGTAGTGGTTTACACGTACACACGGCCACAACTTAAGGGAACCTTGGCAGATATTAAAAATGAACAACAACAGTCTTAAGGTTACATTAAGAAGTATGCATTTAAACATTTCCTGAGATGTTTTTAACTATATTAGTGAATGTCAGACACAGTGACATTCCCCCCCCCTATTATTTACATTATTTTTTTAGTTTCTAAATTCTATTCTATTTCATCTCCTAATAGAACACATACCTTGATAATTCACCATTTGAAGGGTTGATGATAATTTCGTTAAAAAATTGCTTTAACATTCACACTTTATGTTACACAATGCCTAGTGCATCATACTGTGAAGGTTGTTTTAGGATCCAAAATCCAGACATGATTGTGGAAATAGCTTAATCTAGATTTAATAAGAAAAAAAGGAAAACTTTAAAAATGCAACCAAAGGAAATTTGATTTCAATAATGATAGTGAGAGGATCCAGACCAACAATGTTAACAATGGCAAACTATGAAATTTAATAATTAGGAAATAGTTGAGAATGACATTGGAAGCCAGTTTGATAATCAGAAGATAATGAGGAGCAGCTGAGGCAGAAGGTAAGGGACTAATTGACACAGCGGCTGGACAAAGACTCAAGGACTTAAGCAATGAGAAAAATTAACTATGACCTTAAGGAAGGAGAACTATAATACACCAGCAATAGACCATAATTAAGTTATCGTTAAATTAAAAACATTATGGAATATACTGAGAAACAGCGTGTCATAGGGGCCTTGGAGGAAGGTGGGTGAAGGGGTCCTTGGGGGGGGCGAACAGAGATTAGGTTGGAGGTTGACTGGAGAAGGCACAAATTAAGGGACTGAAAGAACCTATGCAGAGCCTTGTCCTAGGGCTCATCAGCAGATGGAAGAATCCACAGAAGAAGATGCACACTAGGAGGTGTGGAGAACTCATTGAGTGCTTTGAAAAGAGGCTGACCGTCAGGTCTGGAGTAACCATGGAGAGGCTTATTAGAAGAAGAAATGGAAAGAAGAAGGGTAACACAGGATCAGGAAGATGATGCAATTTCAGCTAGACACTTTGGATTACAAGGCTGATTCATCTGGTGATGATAAAATAGAATCCAGTACAGCAGGAGAAAACAGGGGGCTGCTCTGTGCTGTGAACTGCAGGCAGGACTGAAGCCATCGACTACACATGGAAGTGTCTGTCAGACATCTGGAAAGGGAACGGAGGAATCAGCTTGACCCTCCAGAAAATGAGCAAAAGGACTGCTTGTCGTCTCATGCAGAAGGAAGAGGAATATGCAGGAGCTGATACAATTAGAGGAGAATGATACCAGTAGAGGAGAATGATTGAGCAGAGACTAAGGCAGAACTTTGTGCTGAACATGGTACAGGTAGTGCCTGGCCAGGCACAGGTCAAAATATAAAGGCATGGTGCTGGTGTCCTTGACTCCAGGTCTAGTCTGTCCTGAGGCAATGGGGAAGAGCAGGCTGCAGGAGGTGGGTTGGGATGGGGTGCCCTTTGAAAATGCCTGGGGCCATAACCTGTCCGTTCCAAGTTATGCATGGACCCCTGAAAGCTTAAGAATTTATTAACATTTGTTGGTGATTTAAGAATAATTGTTCCTCACTCTGATGCCAAAACACAAGCTCATACACACAAATCCCACAATCCCAGTTTACAATTAATCCAATTGACGGATGGTCATATAAACACACTGTTAGCACCTGTGACCATTTGATTCTTAGAGTCTTCAAGCCTTAGAGCAGATCCTTTTTTCTGTTGGTTATTTCAATGTCCAAATAAATGGTTTTATTTCTGTTTGGTTATCTCTACATAGACTTTCACTAAAAACAGAAGAAAGCCTGAACTTAATTGCAGAAAGCTCTGCTGGAAGATCTGGGAGGAATTTGTGGTGCATTTCATCCCCGTGTCAATAAAGATTATTATGTTTCATGTTCTCAAAAACCATCTGATTTTGGGATTTTTATCTCCATGCAGGTGTGAATGGGAAGTTCTGGTATGTCTCAAGCAGTGGCCTGGTATGCTCAGATGGTGAAAAGGCAGAGGACTTTTTTCTTGAGTTTCCAGAACACGGACGTGTCGCCATTAAAGGCTCCAATGGCAAGTACCTTCGTGGAGACCAAGGAGGCACTCTTATGTGTGATGGTGCATCTGTTGATGCATCTTCTCTTTGGGAATACTAATCCATTCACACCAGGTCCAAAATGAGGACCTCTTTTTCAGGTGCAAGACCCACTTTTATCAAGTCAAATGACATGGACTGACATCATAACTTGCCTATTTTTATACTAGGTATCCTATTCCATGCATTTTATGTTTCTTTGTTTCTGTTTGTTCTTTTGTTTTGTTTTTTGTTTTTTCTTAATTTGAAAGAATATGATACTCTAGAAAAGCTGTGTGGATCATTTTCTTGTGAATTTTAGATGTTTTGTCTTTGAACTGAAAAGTAAAATGCCAACATCACATGAAACATGCTTTGTTGAAATATGTACATTGATAACCAACAATAGATTAGTGAAAATCCCAAATCTATCACATCCATATTTATTTAATGTACTGATGAGTAACAACATTTGTTCATTGATTTTAGAGACAATGTGTTTCTGTACAACTAATTTCATATTGTTTTTTTTCTTAAGCTTTACAAAAAATAGGGGCATGAATGCAAAAAAAAGCATGTCTGTTTGCACTGCTGCTACTTTCCACTAGCCAAAAGCAAAATATATTTCATAGTGTAAAGAATGCAGACCAAACCTAAAGCAGAGAAGGAACTCTTCTCTTTACCAAAAACCTGTTTGATAAACAAAATAAAAAATGCAAGTTTTCAATTTATGATAAGATTAGTACTTTTAGGTGGGTATATTAATGTTTTTTTGTTGTTTTATTTGCTATTTAAGCATCTAAATAAGTTTTACTCTTGTATTTTCCTGAGCTGAAGCCCTGTTTTAGTGAAAGAGGAAATGGATGCATAAATGCTGCGTTGATTAATTCAAATGGATCATTTTCAGCTTACGTAAAAGACAATTAAAAGTAAATTTGGCACAAATAGAAAAAAATCAATGGACACAGCAGTGCTCTGTGTGCATACAATAAATATTATCAACTATGACATAGAAAATTTTCATGTTTGAGGAAACATGATAAAACCGCATTTTAACATGTCAGGAACAGAGAAGAAAAAAAAACACAAAGGAGCACATTTCTTATATCCAGCTGAAAGTTCTTCTCTATGGTTCTGCCTTAACTCACAATACACTCTAGATCGCTTCGCTTCAGCGTTTTGTGTTTAAAGGTGAGAAATAAGATAATTGCATGTTTGTTTTAACACAGATATTTCTGTAAAACAAAATTGCTTAGTGAAGCAGTAGAGAACATATTGTGAGAAAAAATGAAAGCGTAATGATTTCCTTTTCCTCAACGACTCAACAGAGAAGTATATTTATAATCTTTTAGGCTGCATAGAACAAGATGAGATAATTGATTAATTACAGCCACAATGAGTTTGAAGACTCTGCTTCATGTTTTTTTCAAAGATGTTTTGATAAAAATGCTTGCATTGCTGTGGTGTTTCCTATCCAAGTAACATCAATCATTCTTATCTTCTCAGCAGCTCTTCAAACAAACACTCCCTTTGAATAGCTTCCTGATGACCATGTCAGGAAAAGCCTTGTGTTCCGACTTTGAATGAACTGAGTTCATTACTTTTTACTGAGCACTAAATGCATTAAAAGGGTTACAAGCTAGATTTAGATGTGTATCACACAGGACAATGTGAAACTGTATTAGTCCATTTTCTCATAGGTAATAATAAGAAATTCACGGTTATTTATTATTAGGTATTCTGCATTTGATAGACATAATGTTTGGCTGCAAGTTATAAATTGCTGGGTTAATCATGCAACCTGTATTAGCTTTACAGAAAAACCTTTTTTCTTTCTTATATTAGAGTGTATTTCATAAGTTGATGGATTCATGATGTTTATCGTGTGTGTTTTCTGATATCAATTTGAAAATGTTGACAATAAAACTTGGAGAAAACAAATCTGACTGATTAAAATAAACTATCGAAATGGCCTCCATCCTGATAGACATATCAACTTAAAACTCCTCCCATTTCATTTCATAACCCAACCCTGTCTAAAACCTGTGATGATGAGTTATTTGGTTATTATTATAGTAAGATTAGATTACAGCAAATTGGGCTTTTCTATGTTACTTCTGAAGACAACTGAGGGCACTGACAGTGAGTTCAAAATTATAATCTACTTTATGTTGATTTATCAGAAAAAAAGAATAATATTTGAAATTTATAAATACTTAAGTGTTTGATCAGTTGTAGTAAAACTAATCTCTATAAAGTGAAAAATATTATACAGTAATAACTAAAAACATTTGTCAATTTTCTAAGAAGTGTATTTTTTATCAGATTCCCCTAATGACTGATTGCACATGGAAATTGTAAACCCTAAAAGCCTCGTGACAGCCTTAAATTTAAGGCCATATCAATTCATGATACTTTTAAAATCAGAGCAAGACTGAATAAGCATGGCTTGTTTTTTAAAGATCTAAAAAGAAAATGTCATTTGGCTTAGATTTGGAAAGGTTTTTCCTTGCAATCTATAAGATGTACAGGTACAGACTTTTCTGGTCCTGATAACACAGCACTGAGCTCAACAAAAACTAAACAGTATAAAAGTATAACCTCATACCATTTGTTAAGCATTGCAGAAGAGTGTTCACTTTGAATTCATGTGATCCATGCAGCCTGTAGTAACCGAGTTGACTGTTAAATATTAAACCATCTGTCACACAGTTAAAACTTTAGTGAAACTTTAGTGGCTTCTACTAGCCTTTATATAAGCCCTGAATAATATTCAGAGAACTATTGCTTTTTAGACCTCAATGAGGCAGTTTTTTTATCATTCACACTAGGTGGCAATGTGTACCTTTCTTCATGTTTTCATTATGTTGCAGCATAGGAGCTGTGAAACTAACATTTCAGGGATTTTAATGAGGAATCGACAACAAAAATGTTTAATCTTTACCATGCAAGGGGTTTCTAAACAACTGCATTTTTATAAATTACCAAGTTGCCATTTACTGAACCTTATGATGTATGTTCCTTTGAAAAATGCAGGCTTATATTTGCACACTGCAAGTTCCCTTTGATGCAAGCCTCACAGAATGTAAATGTAAATTTTTGTTTAGAGTCAGGCCTCATTTTTTCTAAGCATCACACACCTTTCTTACACATATGAAAAGGGGCATCACCAGTTCTGCAAACCTACACTTTTTTCATCTATATATAGGTATATATATGCCTTTCTTGTTCCCCAACCTGATTTATTACCTACTTTTCTCACTAAGAAAATTGTTACCTTAAATCTTCTCCCCGGATTTTACAAAGTGCATCTTTTGTTGCAAAAACATATGATTTCACAAGTAAGGTCCTCATGCAAACTAATATTGTGTTAAAGGATTTGGTTTCAGTTATGGTATTTTAGCCTCAGCACTGAGTGCTAGACTCTATAAATGTCACTGGCATCGTTTTATAGCTGTACATTCATTTTGGCTGGGTTAGCCTACAGCTAGTGTTGTTCTGGACAACTAAAGCATATATTGAAACAAAAGGTTAAATTAAACTGTGTTTTTTTGTTTTGTTTTTTTTCACTGCAGAGGATGTGAGCTCTGGAAGATAAATTGTTAATGTCTAAAATGTTTTAAGTTTTGTCACATTACAAGCACAAAAGATCACTGTCTATTGGCATTTTATGCAATATCACACACAAAGTGCTGCCTACAGGGACTACATGCTTTTAAAGATTACTTTCAAATTAGAAAAATCAAAACTGAATAATATGCATGAGTTCAGCTCACTTTACTCTGACCCTTCCCTAAATATAATCTAATACAACCTGTTACATCCACAAGTCACTGACTTAATAAACAGATCCAACCTATGTAGACATAATCTTAGTTTAATTGCTGCTGTTCGGTGAAAGTCTTACAGGGCTGTGCTTTTAGAGATTATTATTGAACAAATATTGTCATAAAGATAAGGGAATACAACTGGCAGGTGTCAAAGTTGGGTCGAGGTTGGTTGAGGACCCAAATGCAGATATGAGGGTGGAAGGGATGAGTTCTTGAAAGTTTGATGAGATAAAAAAGGCAACAGAAACTAAATCCGAGAACAAAATACAGAAAACCAAAAACAAGTACATGTCAGGGGAAAACACACATGAGGAGCCAAGTAACAACAAGAAATCAGCAAAAAGTAACAAAAGGTGAGACAGAAACAATGGGAGGACTTAATTATCTGACAGGGAGCAGGTGTAGACAGAAGTAACTAGAGGGAGCTAAGGGAAAGGAGACTGGCACGAGGGGGCAACTGAGAGTAACTCAAAAAATACAATACTGCTTAATAATAACACAAAATGGAAAATAAACTAATTAACAAGAAAACAGAATAACATAAAATCAAAGTGGAACTGAAAACTTAAAAAGAAACTCATCAGAAGTCCATGAAGGGCACAATCATGACAGCAGGGGAAGGCTGTGATGAGACTAAGGTAGGTTTAGATTTTAAAAGAATTATTTCAATAAATTACTAAAAGGTTTGGGGATCTGAATAACAAATTCACATAAGAAAAGTCTTTCAATTTCAATTCAGTTTATTTCTATAGCGCCAATTCACAACACATGTCATCTCAAGGCACTCTACAGTTCACCAGATCATACATTCAAATTGATTCAAACTTTTCTATCTAAGGAAAACCAGTTGATTGCATCAACTCATTGACTTGAATGCAATCCCTCACACTAAGCATGCTTGTAGCGACAGTGGAGAGGAAAAACTCCCTTTTTACAGGAAGAAACCTCCAGCAGAACCAGGCTCAGTGTGAGCGGCCATCTGCAGAGGCCGACTGGGGTTCAAGGAGACAGAAGCAGAGATAGGAAACACA